GAGAGCCTGGCCCAGGTTGCCCAGGGAAGCGGTGGCTGCCCCATCCCTGGCAGTGTTGAAGGGCAGGTTGGATGGGGCTTGGAGCAACCTGGGCTGGTGGGAGGTGTCCCTGCCCATGCAGGGGGTTGGAACTGGATGATCCCTGAATGATCCCAACCCGAACCATCCCATGATTCCATGCCAAGCCACACTTGGACATGGGGTGCAGCTCCCTCAGCGTTTGGGCAGTTGGGTTTCTGTGCTTCCAAATGCAACCCCCGGGAGCTCCAACACCCGGGTGTGTTCCCCTTCTTCTCTCCCCCAGGCGAACGAGGTGACCGACAGCGCCTACATGGGCTCGGAGAGCACCTACAGCGAGTGCGAGACCTTCACGGATGAGGACACCAGCACCCTGGTCCAGCACGAGATGCACGATGAGGTGGAGACAGACAGTGCCATCGACTCCACCGTGCACTCCGAGCTCACCGACCCCAGCGAGGAGCCAGAGCACGGGTGAGAGGGGCCAGGCAGGAGCCAGAAATCACCCTGTGGGGCGGGAAACTCCGTCCCACCGGGAACAAATGAGGAGGGTTTCAAAGAGGGTGGGCTGGGGCTGTCTTGCTGGAACTGGTTGGGTTGTTCTTTGGGTTTGGAGCCTTCATGCAAGACCAAAATAGCTCTTCTTGAAGAATAATGATAATAATGCTACTAATAATTAGGCTGCACCATGTGTAGGCTGTTTTGGAGCTCAGCCTGGTCATATCTCTTGAGTTAATCGTTGCTTGCCTTGGGAGAACTTCTCTACCCTCATTAGCATCTTTAACCTCTCCAATGACTTCTCAGGTGATCCAAACACCTGAAATCCTTGCAGTTTTTAATCTATCACTTAAGCCAGAAACACAACATGTAATTTTCAAGTCAGGAGGGGAACTCACCCTCTTCTTGTTTTTCCTAAACATGCGTGTGCCCTTTGATGTGCAACCACCTCCTGTACTAACTAGTCTGAAACTTGTGCCTGAAGCACAGAAGTGTGAGCTGGGATCTGTGTCCCCGTGTCTGAAACGCTGCTGGTGAAACTGCTCCTGGGCCCCCCTCATTTCATTGAATCCCAGACTGGTTTGGGTGGGAAGGGACCTTAAAGAGCATCAGGTTCCAACCCCCCTGCATGGGCAGGGACACCTCCCACCAGCCCAGGCTGCTCCAAGCCCCATCCAACCTGCCCTTCAACACCCCCAGGGATGGGGCAGCCACAGCTTCCCTGGGCAACCTGGGCCAGGATCTCACCACCCTCACACCAAAGAATTTCCTCCTCGTGTCCAACCTCAATCTCCCTCTACCAGTTTTAACCCCTTCCCCCTTGTCCTCTCCCTCTCTGCCCTTGTCCCAAGTCCCTCCCCAGCTTTCCTGGAGCCCCTTCAGGCACTGGGAAGGCCTTGATTTTGCAGTAAAAGTTGTTTTTTAGGGTGAAACTGAGAAGCTGGGAAGGCTGGAGAGGAGGGAACAAGTCCTTTAATAGTGACCCAAGAGCACCGGTCGGTGCTGAAACCTCTGGAACCTGAATGTTTCCTAACACACAGGGGGTTTTGGCGAAAACCAGCCCACACAGCCCTGGTTCTCTGGTGAATATGGAGATTTCTAGTTGCCTTTAGAAAGCCCTGAGACTTCCCACCCACCCCAAACCCCCAGCTGGGGTTGTCAAAGACGCAGCCAGCGGTCGGTGCCGCTGGGTGCTCGGCACCAGGGCCGAAAGGGTGCTGTGGATTAGGGGAAGAAATGAGCTTAGCTGGCTAGGCTCTCCTCACCCCAGAGCCTTCAGCTCAGTGACAGTTAAATCGGGATATAATCGGGTGCTGAACTCCCTGCCCCTCTGAGCAGGAGGTCTCAGGAGGAGCCATGGCAGCCTGCGTGCGCGCTCGTCCGCTGGGGAAAATGACGTGCCTGGGATTCACCTGCCTGTAGGTACAAACTGCTTGGCTTGGGAATTATTTGGATGTGGAAGATCTTGAGGCTTCCCTGCTAGTCCCAGTGTGGTCCTGGGGAGATTGGGTGTCCTTTGGGTGCTCTGTCCCAGCACAGTGACACCCGTTGCCAGGCGTGTTCGATGTGTGCGATTTCCAGGGAGCCAAAAAAAACCCATGAAAAAAGTTAATTTAGCTGAAAGATTTCAGACAGAAACCTCTGGAAGTCTATTCCTAAGTGGCTGAGGGTTGGTTTTGGTGCTGTCAGACCTCAGCCAGGAGAAAAAAATGTACCCCTCTGGTGCTCAGAGCTCTTCCAGGGGATGGTCAGTAAGTACAACCCGAGCAAGACGCTGGTGGATGGAATCAAAGCTTCAACTTTGCCTGTTGAAGCTCAACATACCTTAGATGGTTTGAGCTTAAGCTGTTATTTAGGCTGTGCACAGTCAAGATTAGTTGAATTCTGGATCTCCCAACTGCTGGAGTCTCCAATAGGTGATTATGAAAGACTTGTACTATTTCTTGCCCAAAGCATCCCTGGCTGAGGCTTTCCAGGTGCCTGATCAGATCAGCTCCTCTCACTGTGCTCGTCAAACCACAGCCCCAGATTTAGAGAATTCAGGGTTGGCTTTTGCTCACGAGTTAGAAATTCCACCCCCTGCCTTCTATTCCTGGAGAGATTTCCCAGGCTTTCAGCACTGGTCTGTGGGGTGCAGGTTCCAGGAATAACGGTGCAGATGCCCACAGGCTGGAATGGACTTGTCTGTGGTTAACCAGAGATCTGTTCTTTCAGCTGAAGGCTTAACATGTTTTTGATTAACAGGATAAGGGCAAATCCTGCAGATGGTGCAGGTTTTTGTCATAAATGGCTTATCTGTAATCTTTTTCTCTTTCTGATGCAGTCCCACAAGCCAGTCGTGCTCCTGTTCTCCCTCTCCCAGGAAGTGGTTGGAAATGGGGGCCTAGCCTGAAATATCAGGTTTTATAATCATGCAGCCTTTTGATTTTACCATTGATTTTAGAGAGGAGAGTGGTGCTGGTGCCCCCAGAGCCCCGTGGCTCATAGACATGTGGGCTTCTTTCACAGCCTGATTATTGAGGTTCCCCCAAGCTCAATTTTAAAATCTCAGCAGTTGTATCGTGGGAATCCCTAGACTGGTTTGGGTTGGGAGGGACCTTAGGGATCACCCAGTCCCACCCCCCTGCATGGGCAGGGACACCTCCCACCAGCCCAGGTTGCTCCAAGCCCCATCCAACCTGCCCTTCAACACTGCCAGGAATGGGGCAGCCACAGCTTCCCTGGGCAACCTGGGCCAGGCTCTCACCACCCTCACACCAAAGAATTTCCTCCTCATGTCCAACCTCAATCTCCCCTCTGCCAGTTTTCATCCATCCCCCTTGTCCTCTCCCTCCCTGCCCTTGTCCCAAGTCCCTCCCCAGCTTTCCTGGAGCCCCTTCAGGCCCTGGAAGGTGCTCTAAGGTCTCCCTGGAGCCTTCTCTTCTCCAGGCTGAACACCCCAACTCTCCCAGCCTGGCTCCAGAGCAGAGCTGCTCCAGCCTCTGATCATCCTTGTGGCGTCCTCTGGACTCTCCAACAGCTCTGTATCCTTCTGATGTTGGGGTCCCCAGGGCAGGACACAGTCCCTTAGAGGAAAGTCCCCTGAGAATGGGCACATACCACCAGGGTGGCTCCCCTGCACACAGTACCATGTGCTGGAGAAGACACTGAGAGAAACGATGATGTTTGTGCTGAGCTGTGTCCCCTCCAAAGCAGGTGGCATCCCAGGACCTGTGCTGGGCTCAGAGTTCAGGTTGAGGCTTCAGAATCCAGTGTTAAAACCCCATGGAGCAGCATTCCCAGGTTGTCACGAGCACGTGCAGCGTTTTCCCAGCAGGAGCAGGGAAAGGGCCCCTTGGTGTTGCCAGGGGGTCTGTGCCTGCTGGGTTTAAGCTGCCAGGGTTTGTGTCATGGAGGGAGAAGAGTGACAGAGTGAAACCCTGGTGTTGGGCTCCTGAGAGGATGACATAGCACCAAGCAGGTGTGAGCCTGGCACCCAGGCTGGAGGTGGAACCCCAGACATGTTGAAGGTGTCGCTGGGACACGCTTGAGCTTTTCCTCCGCCCTGTTTTTTGGTTGCACCCCTGCCTGGCCAGGGTCATCCACCCACCTTTGGAGGCTGTCCTGGGAGCCTCACTGTCCCCAAACCCTCCCCTGCAGCTGCCAGGGGAGCTTGTGTGAAAAAAATCATTGGTTTGGTGTGAAAAAAATCAAGAAATATAAGAGTCATTGCTGGGAAAACTGCCTGGTGGTTCCTGGGGTGTGAGAGGGTGAATTGCACTGGGTCTGCTGGAATGGGGCTGGGAAAGACCACCTGCTCATGTCTTCCTCTCTGCTCCCACAGATCCCATCCTCACGACCTGCCCCTGGGCTCAGAGCTCAGCCACTCCATCGTGACTGTCATCAGTGGAGAGGAGCATTTTGAGGATTATGGGGAAGGGAACGAAGCCGATTTGTTCTCGGAGCGTTTGCGTAACGGGGAAAGCAGCTTTAACGGCTCCTCCTTCCTCTCTCCCAGGTAAGGCTCCTCCCAGGAAGGTTTTTAACTGGTTTCACTTGCTTCTTGCCTTGCCCTCGGCTCCGTGTGTGTGGGGCAGGGTTGTTCCCTTTGGCTTTGCAAACCAGTCAGCCTGCAGCAGGGAAAAATGTTTGGATACAATGGGATAAGCAGCTGGGGACTGGAAGAGGAGATGCCTCCTCCAGTCCTCCCTCTTCCTGACCAGTGCCCACCCTCCCAGTAATGCCTGGCAGCAACTGGAAGAGCACAAGTGTCCAGAACAGCATCACATTCCCACTCCTCTCAGGGATGTGGATCCTCATGGAACCTTCCAGTGGAGAAAACCACCCTGCAGCCTTACCCCTGGCTTTGGTGGATGTTTTTTTTTATCCTGCCTCTCTTTGCTGGTGTTTCTGGCTTTGATACGAGGCTTGGTGGGATTTGCAGGAGCTGCACCAGCTGAAGGGCTCTGAGAAGCAAGAAGCAGGCTCTAGGGTTTTCCTGGGCTCCTTGCTTTGGGATCTGAAATCAGGAAGATGGTTCTCCAGCTGGTATGACAGTACAAAACCTGCCAATACTTTTGAAGGAGAAAAAAAAAGGGAAAAAATCCACTTCTGCAGCCCACAAAGGCTCTGTGATGATCCATAACACTGGGGACATGTTCCTTCATCAAGCAGGACACCTCTGGTTGGTCCCTGCCAGCCACACACCCATGTTGAGGACAAGAACATACTTTTTTCCTTTGGGGTGATACACGTTGGTGACTTTCTGCACTGACATAAACCTGTCATCATGTCAGGGTTTTTTTTGCTGTCTGCCTGTTTTCTGCCAGCTTCCCAAAGCCCTCTGTGGAGTTGGGGCAGGTGTGGTTGCCCAGGAAAGAGGTGCATTCCAACCTCCATACCTGCACTTCGCTGCAGGTTGGGGCTTTGACTTTCTTTTTTCCCTCTGGGGCAGCAGCAATTTTGAAGGTGTTCACTTCAAACCCCACCAGGAGGGTGTTGCTGCAAAGCCACCCAGTTGCCTCAGGAAACCAGTGCTCCAACCCTTGCTGCTGATGGGACACAGAGCAGTTGGAAGGGCCACCTCACTCATCCATGCTGGTCCTTCCATGGCCCTCTGCAGAGATGCCAAGTCCAGCTGCCTGCCCTGCTGCTGCAGCACAGCAAGTGCTCTTGGATAAACACCACCCTTGGTGTTCCTTTTGAGTTCCTCCTTGAGGGCCTCCACCAAGACTCCTCCACCTACCTAGTCCAGAGGGCTCCTGGCAAGAAGATACTCAGCTAAAGGAGCTTTGCCATCAGTTAAACTTTTTTCTTTGCTCTCAGTCTGGGGCTCCCAGGTTGCCTACAGTCCCAATGTTCAGATCCTGCTCTCCCAGGGCACTGTCTTGCCTCTGCTGCTCTGTCTCTTTGGACCTGGCCCAGGAGATCATGCTCTGCAGCACCTTCCCTCTGGCAGGAGGGGCTCGCCCGACACGTGGCCATGCAACTCGTGGTGCTTGATGCTGGAGAAGATTCACTGCTGGGGCTTGCAAGAGGGAAGATAAAACCTACAGAACCTCCAGAGTAAAGAATGTGGGTCTGTTTGAAACAGAGGATTTCCTCATGCCTTTCAAGTCTGGCACTTACCTGGGATTATCGTTGCGTGCGTGAAGGTCCTTAGCTGATCCTTCTCTGAGCTTGTGCTGGTTTGCTGAGCAAAGCCTCTCCAGTGTGTTTCAATGTAGTGAAACCTTAAGGAACTACAGGAAAGAACTGTAAAAAAACCTGGAAGAAGTACTGGGTCAGGCTGAACATGTTTTTTTTGGCTGTGATTTGGGCATGAGGAACAGTTATCACTTCCATGATACACACCACGCGGTGTTTCCATCTTACAAGAGCCTCTAAATGGGAATAACATCGACAGATGTTCTTGCCACAGCTCCAGATCTTCATCAGAGGGCTAATGCAAGAACCACAAGCCTTCAGGGAACGTTCTCCTGCCTAGTCCTTGGATGGTTTGGCCACATCTCCTCTTGGGGTTGTCTCCTCTTCCCTGGCACGTCCATCCGGGAGGAGAAGCCTCTGTGCGGCGCTCGGTGGGAGATGCCAGCTGCTGAGGAGCTGTGCCAGCCAGCACCCGTGACCCGTGGAAGACTCCAGGAGATGGAGGGAGGAGGCAGGAGGGCTGGGCTGGTGCAGAGGGTGGCAGCTTGCCACGAGGGGTGGGTGGGGAGCCCCAGGGCTCGGGGTGGTTGAGCTCTCACCCACGCAACGGGCAAGCACCCAAGGCAGCCAGAGGCCACGTCTACCTGCACGCACCCCGGGAGCTGCCAGGCTGGCCTCTGGGTTCTCTCCTCTCTGCTGCCTGCCCTGTTTTGACAAATGCTTGTTAAGTTTCACACCTCAGCCACGGATGCATCCAGCTGGGTGAGCAGTTTCTGCCTGCTGGCAGGGGTGAGGAGGAGGAGCTGAGCAGAGCTCACGTGCAGCTGGGCATAGGGACAGAGCCCAGGTCGCATCACTTCTGCAGCTGCCACCAAGCTGCTGTCACCTTCTTACCCTTGTGCAAAGCCTGAGCAACCAAACTGGCTGCTGGTGGGTGATGATTATCCCAGGTCCAAACCCATCCTAGAAGGTAGAGGGAATGTCTTCTTGATTTATTTTTCTTCCAGGCATGGGCAGAGATGAGCGATGGGCTGTTCACTCTTCTCCAGTTGTGGGTTCTAAGGGGGCTTAGAAATACTGTACAGAAAGCACCAACGCACAGGGCTTCCCTTGGGGATGGCTGGGTTGCTGGCACCCCCCTGCCACCCAAACACATCAGCCAGGGGTTATGCAAAGGTGCTGAGCCAGGGGACCCCTCCTGGGGTGTCCCAGGCACTCAGCACCTCCCGGGCCAGGACTCAGCAGGGTTGATCTGTATCACGGGGCTGCCTGGCCCTTTCTGATGCCTTCTGGTTTTAACCTTGCTTGTGTTTGCTCACACCTTGATCTGTCTTTCTTATTGAACTGCTTTGGTTTTTTCTCTATTAATCTTTCTCTGATTAAAATCCGTGGCTTCCAGAAGCAGGTTCTCCCCACAGGAATGATCTGTGACCTGTATCTGGCCCCCCAAGTAACACAAACTCCTCCTGTTCTCAATCCCTTGGCCAAACTTGGTTCTGCCCAAGTCATGTGAGGTGGGGAAAGTGACTGCCTGGTTTGCCAAGTGTCAGTGAATGCTTCAGCAGCTTGTTTTCCCTGTTGGCAGCTGAAAATGAAACCCTCATCAGACCCATTGGCTCCCCAAGCTGTGAAGGTCCTGTAGACCCCCCCATGGCCAAAGGATGCTCCCCACGAGGAGGCAAAGCTGCTGCTGCAGCTTCTGGCTGCTTCACTTTGTAGGAAGCAGCAGTTGAACCACTTTTTTTTGAGTTTGGCTTCCAAGGAGGGGACCTCTTTGGGATGAAAACCTGGCTCTATGCATTCCTACTGGAGGGTCCCCAGAGCAAAGCTGCCCTTGTTGGACAAGTGTCCCCTTGGGAAAGAATGTGACTGGCCAAAGGATGTGACACCTCACCTTCCCTTGGGCTCTCAGGGGTTCCTCCCCAGGAGCAGGAGGTTGGGAACACGTCAGCCAAGCTCAGCTGCTGTGGGAGGAGGGCAGTGCAAGTCCTGCTAATTCACAGCAACTCCTCCTTGCCCACGAGCTGCCTTCAAAAGCCAAGCCAGGCAGGTCACCCAGCCTGAAGTTTGACATCACAGACCTTGTAGCTCTCCCCAAAAAAAGCCTCCCCCAGCCTTCAGCTTGTGGAAGCCACGGATGAAACCCCTCCCTGTCTGTTCTGTCCTGTTTCAAATGACCCTTGTGCTCTCTCCAGCCCCACTCCCCTCGCTGCGAAACTGCACAGCATTCTTGCAGATGAAGCTTTTGAGTTTTACTGTAGCCAGTGCCACAAACAAATCAACCGCCTGGAGGATCTTTCTGCTCGCCTGAATGATCTTGAAATGAATAGGTAACTGGGCTGCTGTGTGGCCATTTCAGGGTTTGGGAGTGATGCTCTGCCAGGGGGGGATAAAACTCTCCTCGTCTTCCGCCCAGCTTTTCCTTTTGGTGCCTTGTTTGAGTCCTTGGCTGGGGAAGGGGATGGATTTCAGTGGGTGGAAGAGGCTGTTGTGACTTGGTGGAGGGTGAGGAGATGTTTTCTTCAACCCCAGCCAGGGAGGTTGGCAGGCAATGAGAGTTTGGCCTTCTGCTCTGGGCAGCTGCATTGCAGCTCCTGCTGGGTGGTGGGTGCTTCTCCATACTCCGAGTGATGCACCAGGGCTTGAAAGCCTGAGCTGGTCATGTACAGGATTTCTGTCACTGAGGGAAGGACCAAGGTCTGGTGTTTTGGCTGGTGAAGCCCAGCCTGAGCTGCTGGTTCAGCCTAGAAGGGCAGGTACAGCCTGTCCTGCTGCAGCAGTAACCTGGAAACATCCCAGAATCACGGAATGGTTTGGGTTGGAAGGGACCATAAAGATTATCCAGATCCAACCCCCCTGCATGGGCAGGGACACCTCCCACCAGCCCAGGTTGCTCCAAGCCCCATCCAACCTGCCCTTCAACACTGCCAGGGATGGGGCAGCCACAGCTTCCCTAGGCAACCTGGGCCAGGCTCTCACCACCCTCACACCAAAGAATTTCCTCCTCATGTCCAACCTCAATCTCCCTCTGCCAGTTTTCATCCATCCCCCTTGTCCTCTCCCTCCCTGCCCTTGTCCCAAGTCCCTCCCCAGCTTTCCTGGAGCCCCTTCAGGCACTGGAAGGTGCTCTAAGGTCTCCCTGGAGCCTTCTCTTCTCCAGGCTGAACACCCAACTCTCCCAGCCTGGCTCCATAGGATCTTGCTCTCTGTGCCTTGGGATCTCTCCTGGAGATGCTCCAGCTTTGCAGCAGCACAATCCCATTTTTCCAGCTCTTCCTGCCTTTGCTTAGGAACTTCATGAGCTTCTGAATATCAAGTTTGAGGTCGACCAGCCAGCAGCTGGACTTGTGGGTTTGCCAAGTGGGGAGGGATTTCTGTTTGGTTGTTGCTTTTTTCAGACCTGTTTGCAGCCCATTTGGTGCAAGGATGGTGGGATGATTGGGGATCCTTCTTTGTGTCCTCTTTTTCAAGCCTGCTTTTCTGGTCATGCTCTTGGTCTCTGTCCTCTGCAGGGACATTGTGACCATGGGGGCTCTGCTGGGCCATGTAGCTGTGGGAAGAGAACTGGAAAACAAACAGGAGCTTGACCTTAGTATTTTTTTAATGGGAAAAAATACTTCTTTCCCTTTATTTTTATTGGGTAAATGAGTTCCCTTTGCTGTTGGAGGCCTTGAGGGTCAGTGATGGGTCTCAGGTTATGCAGTTATTAAGGAGAACATGGGATTGCCCTGGAGGCATCAGGAGCCCCACTCCATTTCAGGCTTTCTCCACTGAACTGACACCCCAGAGTCTCCTGGGAGAGGTGGCATTTCCAGAGCAGGCTTCCCTGTCCCATGATGTTGTGGTAGGAATTCCATGGCTCCCTTGGGCTCAGGGTGTGTAGATGTGGTTCCTCCACCTGTGGTCAGGGGTTCCCATGCACACCTTGCCTGGAAATTTGCTCCCTGCACACTGAGCCAATGGAAGGGGCATCAGCCAAGGTGGGGAGGCCATGAGAGGTGTCCCCATGCAGCACGTGGGACATGGCAGGACCTGTTGGTTGCTCCCAGTATCACCAGCAACGTGAAGCCCTCAGTGCAAGGGGACAAGCCCTAGGCTGCAGGTGAAGGGAGAAGCAGAAACTGGACCAAAATGTGGGCCCAGCAGCCTCACACACTGTGCCTGGGAGGCAAAACCTGCAGACCTCTGCTCCAGAGGCTGGGGGTGAAGCCCAGGCTGCCACCTGGGAGTGTTTATGCAGCATTTGACATGTAGAAGAAGATGGGGAGCCTGCTCCTGGCATTGGGGTGCTGCTGCCCGAGCCCATGGCATGGGAAGGTGGGGAAGAAATCCAGCAGGAGAATCACAGAACCCTAGAATGCCAGGTTGGAAGGGACTCCAAGGATCCTCTGGTCCAACCTTTCTAGGTAACACTCTAGTTGATATGAGGTGACCCAGCATCTGTTGAGCAGAGGCTTCAAACTGTCCCATGTGGGGGAATCCACCACTTCCCTTGGGAGACTGTTCCAATGTCTGACTGTTCTCGTGGTGAAAAATGTTCTTCTGGAGCCCAGTGAGTTTCCCCAGGAGCAACTTGTGCCCATCACCCTGGGACTCCTTGTAACCAGGGAGTCTCCATCTTCTTGGCAGCCACCCCTTGTGGCCTGGAACATGGAATTAAGGTCTCCCCTTGAGCCTTCTCCTCTCCAGGCTGAGCAAGCCCAGCTATCTCAGCCTCTCCTCATAGGGCAGGTCCTCTGATCATCCTCATGGCCCTTCTCTGGACCTTCCAGCCTGTCCACAGCTGTTCTGTGTAGCCAGGAACTCAGGGCTGAACCAGTTCAGGAAAAGTACCTTTTGTTTTAGTGCCCTTGAGGCAGCCCTGGTGTGTCCCATCCCCTCCAGAGAGCCCCCCCAGGTGCCAGCACTGCTTTCCCAGCCCTCTTTGCAGAGACAAACACTATTTCTCCCTCTGGTGCTGAGGACATAACAGGAGTGATTCCAATTCCTGGCAAACAGGGGGGGTCTGACCTGCTCCCCTGGGGTGGGTGCTGAGTGTCCTTGAAGCCCAGCCAGCCCCAGCTCTTCTGCTCCTTGGACATCTGGGCCTTCAGGATGCCCTTTTGACACAAGGGCTGGTAACCCTGACAACAAGCCCTGGTTGCTCACTGGGTTGTTTTGCTGGTTGTTTTTTCTTTCACAAAGAAAATTGTCCTGAGCTATTTATAATTCCTCCTTCGAAGAACTGAAGTCGTTGTTGCAGCTCAGGAATGGACTCCCAGGTGCTTGGGTTTATTTAGATTTATTATGGGGTTTTTTTTTCCCTCTTGAAACTGAGCTAAACACCAGGGAATGGAACTGCTGCTTCTCCACTGTGGTTGCTGCCATCCTTCAGGCAGGGTTTGGTGTCAGTGCCTTGGCCCAGGGGCATCTGTTTGGGGAAAAAAAGGAGGGAGATCCAAGCCCTGTGGGCTTCTTAGAGTCACAGACTGGTTTGGGTTGGAAGGGACCTTAAAGATTATCCAGATCCAACCCCCTGCATGGGCAGGGACACCTCCCACCAGCCCAGGTTGCTCCAAGCCCCATCCAACCTGCCCTTCAACACTGCCAGGGATGGGGCAGCCACAGCTTCCCTGGGCAACCTGGGCCAGGCTCTCACCACCCTCACACCAAAGAATTTCCTCCTCATGTCCAACCTCAATCTCCCCTCTGCCAGTTTTCATCCATCCCCCTTGTCCTCTCCCTCCCTGCCCTTGTCCCAAGTCCTTCCCCAGCTTTCCTGGAGCCCCTTCAGGCCCTGGAAGGTGCTCTAAGGTCTCTCTGGAGCCTTCTCTTCTCCAGGCTGAACACCCCAACTCTCCCAGCCTGGCTCCAGAGCAGAACTGCTCCAGCCCTTTGTGGTCTCCTCTGGAGGAGCATGTGAAGGCTGGAAAGGCTCTATTAGCAGGAGCTGTTCCTGAGAAAGGCTTTTTTTTTCCTCCTTGGCTGTCACCCCATAGGTTACCCTGGGCATTAGCTACACCCTGACCTCTGTGGAATGGTGGCAGATGGCTGGGACATCTATGGAGCTGGGGGGTGTCACCTCCAGCAGTTATCCCTGCAGAGGAGAGAGCTCCTTCCCCTCCTCCATCATCCTAGCAGAGCTCAAAATCCAGGCAGGATCATGCCCAACAGCTCCTCAAGTGTCTGAGCTCCACGTAGGCACCAATTCTCCAGTCACCCAGAGCCAAAGAGGGAGAAGAATCCTTAGGAGAAGCAGGAGCAAGTGGAGAAGGCTGGAAGTGCTGTGTCCTGTCCCCAGCCCCCAGGCAGGGAGCTCAGGGGGTGCTGGAGACCCCCAGCTGAACCCCCTGCTATTATTAGCCCCCTTTCCTTGGGGATCAGCTTTCAGGCCAGGGCTCAGAAGATCCTGGTGCTGGAGGTTGGGAGGTTTCCTGCAGCCTTATTCCCTGGAGTTCATTATCACCAGGGTGTTAATTAGGTGAGCAGAGGATGTGCCCCCCCAGTTCCTGCAGTTTCCTGTTTCCCTTGCTCTCCCCTCTCAGCTTCCCTAACTCTTTTCCTGTTTTCCTTTGGTTTTGCAGCCCAAATAAAAGACTCTCAAGCAAGAAGGTGGCAAGGTAAGCTCAGATGCCTCTTACTCCCTGCTCAGAGGGGTGGCCATGCTGGGAATGGGAATGGGAATGGGAATGGGAGGGAGGAAAGCTGGGAAAAATAAGTGTGGGATGTGTTGCCTGGTGCTGAGGAAAAGCAGGGTTAGTTCTGATAGAGTTTACAGGAGCTGGTTTCTGAGAAAGGCTTTTTTTTCCTCCTTGGCTGTCACCCCATAGGTTACCCTGGGCATTAGCTACACCCTGACCTCTGTGGAATGGTGGCAGATGGCTGGGACATCTATGGAGCTGGGGGGTGTCACCTCCAGCAGTTATCCCTGCAGAGGAGAGAGCTCCTTCCCCTCCTCCATCATCCTAGCAGAGCTCAAAATCCAGACAGGATCATGCCCAACAGCTCCTCAAGTGTCTGAGCTCCACGTAGGCACCAATTCTCCAGTCACCCAGAGCCAAAGAGGGAGAAGAATCCTTAGGAGAAGCAGGAGCAAGTGGAGAAGGCTGGAAGTGCTGTGTCCTGTCCCCAGCCCCCAGGCAGGGAGCTCAGGGGGTGCTGGAGACCCCCAGCTGAACCCCCTGCTATTATTAGCCCCCTTTCCTTGGGGATCAGCTTTCAGGCCAGGGCTCAGAAGATCCTGGTGCTGGAGGTTGGGAGGTTTCCTGCAGCCTTATTCCCTGGAGTTCATTATCACCAGGGTGTTAATTAGGTGAGCAGAGGATGTGCCCCCCCAGTTCCTGCAGTTTCCTGTTTCCCTTGCTCTCCCCTCTCAGCTTCCCTAACTCTTTTCCTGTTTTCCTTTGGTTTTGCAGCCCAAATAAAAGACTCTCAAGCAAGAAGGTGGCAAGGTAAGCTCAGATGCCTCTTACTCCCTGCTCAGAGGGGTGGCCATGCTGGGAATGGGAATGGGAATGGGAATGGGAGGGAGGAAAGCTGGGAAAAATAAGTGTGGGATGTGTTGCCTGGTGCTGAGGAAAAGCAGGGTTAGAGAGTTTACAGGAGCTGGTTTATCTGACATGGGGGGTTCTCCCTTGCACCCCTGGGGACAACCTGATCGTTTTCCAGGACAGGAATAGGGGTCCTTCCCCCCCAGCCCACCAGTGCCTGAGCAGGGAAGGAGACCCTAGAAGGGCATTGTCCCTCTGGACAGCTTGGCTGGGCTGTCTTCTCCCCAGTGACCCTGTGGTGGGTCTCTAGAAGACCAGACCAGTCCATTCACCCACTCAAAAGGATCCTCCAACACCCCAAAAAAGCCACACACACACACACACACACACACACACACCCCCCCCCGAGACAGCCCTCGGTTCTCTTTCTTTGCTTAGTGTGATCCCCAGCACTTTGCAGGAGCAGCTTTGGGGGCAGCTGCAGGTGCCCCCAGCCTGGGGCTTAACTCCCTGCTGCTCGTGTCCTGTGGGACCCTCCTGGGTGATACTGGTCCCACTGGGTCATACTGGTCCCGCTGGGTGATGCTGGTCCCACTGGGTCATACTGGTCCCACTAGGTAATGCTAGTCCCACTAGGTAATGTTGGTCCCACTGGGTGATGCTGGTCCCATTGAGTGATGCTGGTCCCACTGGGTGGTGCTGGTCCCGCTGGGTGATACTGGTCCCGCTGGGTGATACTGGTCCCGCTGGGTGATGCTGGTCCCACTGGGTGATACTGGTCCCGCTGGGTGATACTGGTCCCCCCATGCCCTGCCTCTCTGTCCCCTCCCTGCACTGACTCTGCACACCCCTCCCTCCCTGCTGTGCTCCCTTTCCCTTCTCCACTTCTCCTGCAATCAGCAGGTTTCTCCTGGCACCAGTTCCCCTCCTGGCAAGGAAACAGGTCCTTGATGTTACATTTCCTGCTCCTGGTCATCTCACTTTCTAGATCTTTGTTAAAAACACTGGCAGGAAAGAAGGCTGAGAGGAGCAGCCTGTCCCCAGCTTTCCTGTTTCAGGGTTAGTTTCTGTCCCAGGTGGAACAGAGCAAATGGAAGGAGGGTTGGAGTTGGGTTTTGGGGAATGAAGATGTCCTGTCTGCTGGGGGACTGAGCCCTTGGCTTGTCTGAGATTGGAACTGGAGGGCTTAAGTAAATATTGGTTCATTCAAGATGAGTAGTGTTTAGTTCAGGATAATGAGCCAGATCCCAGGGTGGCTGCAGAGTTGAGCCAGATCCTTGAGATCAGCCCTTTGCTCCAGACCCTGTCAGGACTGACACCCAAAGCTTTGCTTGAAGGAAATGGGTTGGCTTTTGGGCTCTTGATTTTTGTTACCCAGGTTCTGCTCATGCCAAGGACTCTCAGCTGCTTCAGGCCCCTTGTGCTTGGCATGATTGAAATGACCAATGTGGCCCAGACTTTACAATCTAAATATATACCCAGGGTAAGGATGGAAAATGAGGCTGGAACTCACTGAGGCCTCTCCAGTAAATGCCAGTGGTGCTGCATGAATGTTTGCAGGAGCAGGTTGTGGAGCAGGGGGAATTGGAGAGCCTGCATTGCCAATTCCTATGGGAAAAAAAAACCAACCCAAACCTGAGGTTCAAAGACACCTCTGTGGGGTTTTTCTCACCCACCTCCAGCTCCAAGCAGCTCTGGCTTCAAAGGTGGATCAGGCTGCTGGTGGTTTGAGCTGCACTGGGAAAGAGCAGAGGGTTGGTTTTTTGGAATCTGAGGTTCCCAGAGCTGGAATAGCACCAAGCTTCCCCTTGTTGGCCACAGTGCTTCCCTTGTGCCTTGGGAAGATGAGGGTTTCAGTGCAGATCAGCCCCTCTGGGGGGTGGGGGTGGCCTTTAGATCCCTGCAGAGCTGTGGCCACCAATGTCCCAGGGCCTTGCTAATGATCAGCTGGCTCTGGGCTGTGCTGGCTGCTGCAGGGAGCTGGGTTGGGCTGTTTTGCAACAGGTTCAGGGTTGTTGCTGGGGTTTTTTTTCTCCTCTTACACCCCCTGCCCTCCCTTCTTATTAGCTTTATCAGTGCCTAGAGGGGAGTACTCTGTCCTGTGCTGGGTAATACCTGGCCTTGGGTTTGGAAAGAGAGAAAGTGAAGAGATTGAGCTCTTATCTCTTCCCATTCCAAAGAGCAAAAAGCCCAGTGATCCCAGGATGAAGTCCCAGCAGCTCGTGGCCAGGGCTGTGCTCCCCTGGCTGCCTGAGCAGCCTCCAGCTCAGCCCTCTTAGCCCAGACCCTGAACATCAGGGTCTCTTGGAGGTCGTGGGGGTGAGGACCTGACCCTGAACATCCTGCAGCCCCAGGAGGGTCATTCAAGCCCTTTGGAACGGGAGGTGGCAGCTGAGGAAGGGGACAGGAGCCATCCTGCAGCAGCAGCTGTGGTCTGGGACTGCCACGTCCTGCCATGCTGGCCCTGATGCTGGCCCTGCTGTGGGTTGGGGTGGTTTGTCTCTGTCACAGGCAGTTGCACCAGACCAGTGCCCTGGCCGTGGGGGTGATGGACGAGTCGTACCGGGACACGCTGGAGTGCTCAGAAGAGGACATCACTGACAAGGTAAGAGCAGTGCTGGCTCTCCTGGAGCATTAGGCAGCTCCCACTGCTCCCAGAACCCCAGGCAGGAGTTGGGGTGAAGCTCCTCTGACTGGTTTTCTTCTCCAGGACAAAGCAGTGCTGGCTTCAAACCTAGATCAGGCTGCTCATCCTTGCAGAGAATCCCAGAGCGTGTTGGGTTGGAAGGGACCTTTAAAGGCCACCTAGTCCAGCCCCCCTGCAGTGAGCAGGGACCTCTTGCACTAGATCAGGTTGCTCAGAGCCCCATCAAGCCTGACCTTGAAGGTCCCCATAGATGTGGTCTCCACCACCTCTCTGGGCAACCTGTTCCAGTGCTTCACCCCCCTCGTAGCAAAGAACTTCTTCCTAGTGTCTGATCTCCATCTCCCCTGCTCCAGTTTAGGATCATAGTTTGAGCTGCACTGGGAGAGCAGAGGGGTTTTCTCCAGGCAGCATCAGGTCAGTCCCAGTGGGATTGGTGGGGTGGGAGACATGGAGCTTCCCAGGTGGAGAGGAGAGGGCTCTGAGGGTGCAGAGCTCCTGTGTTGAGTCAGGAGGTGGCACTGGTGTCTTCTCCCAGGGCTGGGCTGTGCTGCCCTGCTTGCAGCCCTGGATGCCCTCCCTCCAGCTGGCCAGGAGGGGGGGGGAGCTGTTCCCAGCCTGGAGTTTCACTTCTGCTTCTCCTCCTAAGATGTTTTCAAATGAGCAAAGTTGCCTGATGTGAAACAAGAACTTCCTTTCCTGGGCACCCTCTGGCTGCTGCTGCTCGTGCCGTGAGGGTGTTGAGCTGATCCTGTGCTGGTCCTGCTGGGTTTTACTGGGCTGGCAGGAGGGCAGGGTTGTAGGGCAAGACAGGAGCAGGGCAGGAGCACAAGAAAGCTTTTGTTTGAGCAACAGTTTGTTTGAGCTAGGAGAAAACAGGGAGGGTAAAGATGGGAGAGATGGGGCTTGGGTAAGGATCTGCTGCAACTCCTGAAGCTCCTTGGGAATGGCTGTTGGATTCTGGAATCACAGCTGCATGTGGCAGAGAAACACACAGGTGTGTGGCTGCACCTGGCTGTGATTGTAAGGCAGGGAAGAGCTTGAAGAAAGGATTTTAAAATCAACCTTTGATTTCCAAGTCTGAGAGCTGAATAAACCACATGATTCTGAAGGCTCAGGAAACAGAGTGTGCTGGGCAAGTCCTCAGGTCTCTGCACGTTTCTTCTCTTCCAACACCTGGGTGTCTCTTGCCCTCCTCTCCAGAGCAATGGGGCAGGTTTTGCAGACCTGCTCCTCGTTGGATCTCCCTCATGCTTGCTCTTGGATGGGTAGAAATGGGACTTTTCTGCCCATGAAGGCTCCTTCTGCAGTTCCCCACCCACCCTGCTGCCTGGGTGGGAAGGAGAGGGGCACTCCCAGCCCCTCTGGCTCCTCAAAGTCCTACAGGATTTAGGGCAAGTGAATGAAAAAGCAAATGCAGCTGAAATAAGCCCTGTGTAGGTATAGGGAGAAAACACTTCCCTCTCATCCTCCCCTTCCACCTGGCAGCCCTTTCTCCTACTTTATGTGAAGCCAGGATCTTTCAGTCCTGTTTTGGGCAGCAGGTGGTTCTTCCCAGACCTCAGGGCTGGAGCTCCAGTGATCCAGCTGGGATCCCTCTGAGACCTCCATGTAGGACTTTGGGAAGTTGTGGAAGTGTTGGGAAGTTGTGAAGTTGGGGTGTTCAGCCTGGAGAAGAGAAGGCTCCAGGGAGACCTCAGAGCACCTTCCAGGGCCTGAAGGGGCTCCAGGAAAGCTGGGAAGGGGCTTGGGATAAGGGCAGGGAGGGAGAGGACAAGGGGGAATGGATTAAAACTGGCAGAGGGAGATTGAGGTTGGACATGAGGAGGAAATTCTTTGCTGTGAGGGTGGTGAGAGCCTGGCCCAGGTTGCCCAGGGAAGCTGTGGCTGCCCCATCCCTGGCAGTGTTGAAGAGCAGGTTGGATGGGGCTTGGAGCAACCTGGGCTGGTGGGAGGTGTCCCTGCCCATGCAGGGGGTTGGATCTGGATGGTCTTTAAGGTCCCTTCCAACCCAAACCAGTCTGGGATTCTATGATTTTATCATGAGGGGGTGAAGAAAGGAAAGAGGGGAGTGTTTGTCCCTGTCTTGGTGCAGGGGAGACACCCAAAGCAGTGGAACAAAGGCAGGAGGGAACGTTTTTGAAGGATATTTTAAATGGAGGCTCAGCTGCCTGAGCCCAGTGGCAACCAGGAGAGATCCCCAGGGGTGGCTCCAGCAGCTGGGCAGGGAGGAGGACACAGGACTCCAGGATGGGGTGACCAGCTAGGATGGGCTGCAACAACCCGAGGAACGCCCAGGTGAAGCAGGGTGGTTGCTGCACCCCTTTGGGGTGACTTTTTTGGGCACGGGGGGGGTGGGTCTGACCCTGCCTTCTCCCAACTTCAGGTGGTCTTTCTGGAGAAGAGGGTGACAGAGCTGGAGAAGGACACGGCTGCCAACGGGGAGCAGCACAGCCGCCTCAAGCAGGAGAACCTGCAGCTGGTGCACAGGTAAGGGAGCCAAAAACGTGGGCCAAAATGCAGCTTCACAGCATTGCTGGGGCCTCCCCAACCCCCACAGCCCGTGCTGGGAAAGGAGGCAGCAGGAGAGGAGGGAGCTGGAGAGAAAAACAGCAGGAAGGCTTCGTGGTTTGGTCCTTACCGACCTGATCCTGCCTGGCTTGAGGTGGTTGTGGTGAAATCCCACAGGGGTCCAGGCTGGCCCCTCTGCCCAGGAGCCACCTCTGGGGTCTGGGCATCCTGCACCTGCTTTGCTGGGCCCTTTGGGAAATTCCCAGGAGGACAGGGAATGTTGCTTGTGGCTCAGCTGGGACAAATGGCCACTCTTCTCCTGTGCAACATTCCACTTGGATGCATGTCAAGATGACAGTGCTTTGTGGACCTGTTGGGTTGTTTTTTTTCAAGACCTTTTTATTGATGTGCTTCTCCACCCCCTGAAAGGTCTCTGGAGCTCCAGGGGTCAGCTCAGAGGCCCACAGGGGGGTCATGTTTCTTGGAAAGCTTCCCTTTCAGGAGGGATATCCATGACATACACATCATACTCACTGTATTGACTCTTTCTGGCCCTTATTTCACCCCTTAGGGCTGAGCTGAAGGTCCAGCAGGGTCCCTGCTCCCCATCTCTGTCCCCCCCACGGGCAACCTTGATGCTGTTGCTCTCAGATCCTGCCTGGGGTGTAGCCCTTTGGATCCCCTTGGGTGTAATCACTGCCTTTGCTAATCTGGCAGGCTGCTGCCTCCAGCAGGGTATTTACCCTGGGCAGATAAACCCAGCAGGAGTTTATCTCTGGGGCTGTAAGACTGTTAAGTACCAAGCAGGGAAGCCAGCAAGTCAAACAAAGGTTCCTCTAAGCCCTGATGAACTTTGCAGCCAGGGAAATGTTTTCACTTCTGCAGCTTGGCCCAGAAGTGTCACTTGGCCTTGAATCAAGCCAAGCCCCACCTAGAAGGTGCTGTTGTGCTGGTACAGGTGGATCTGCAGCTCCTCTGTCTTCTGCTGAGAAGGTTGAAAAGGAGGAGGGTTGGGGTTGTCATGTTTTCTCTGGGCAGCAACATGAGGGAGCCCACAGGGCTGGAAGTGGCTCCAGAGGGATCTCTTTGCCATGGCCACCAGCAGTGAAACCACAGCCCTTGGGTTTATGGTTGGGTTTGATGATCTTAAAGGTCTTTTCCAACCTAGATGATTCTGTGAGATTCCCATAAGTAGCTTGTTCTGGGTGATGCTGGGACTGTGACCAGCAATTATTCCCTCCCTCCCTCCTTTGCCTCCCCCTTAAAAAGGGGTTTGCTGGTGGCTTGAAAGAACTGGGCAGAGGCAGCAGCAGCAGCAGGTACCACCTGGGTCACGTCATCTGCCCATCCAGTTGGTCCATGTGTCCCTGGGAACACATGGACCACGTTGTGTTGCCACTTCATCTGCTGGGACAAAGCAAAGCCCGTGTACACCTGCTGCTTGAGAAGCTGGTGTGTGCTTCCCAGCAGCTCTGTTCTCCCAGTTTCCCACCCCAGTTACTCTGTGGGGTGGGAAACAAGCTGGGAAAGAGCCTGAGCCCTCCCTTGGGCTGGCAGTGTGCTGGGGGCTGAGCCATCAGGAAGGGTTAATCCTCCCTCTCTCCTCTCTGCAGGGCAAATGCTCTGGAGGAACAGCTGAAGGAGCAGGAGCTGAGAGCTGACCAGACCCTCCTGGATGAGATCAAGAAGCAGAGGGAGCTGCTGAGCAAAATGGAGAGGGAGAAGAGCATTGAGATTGAGAACCTGCAGGCCAGGTGGGGCTGGGGCAGGGCAGGTCTGGACCCACATCTACACTCTGGAACACATGTAGAGGCTGCTGCTTTGTGACTGCAGCCTCTGGGGACACCCAGGTGTGGGAGGCAGGGAGTTTAACTTGGTTGAAGATGTGACTAAAGTCATTACAAACCTACTTGTGAGCCTGCTTGGCTCCTTCTCCTGCTCTCATTCCAAAATCAAGTCTCAGACTCTTTACTTGAAGCATTTAGTTCATGTTCCCCCTCTGTGTGTGGGGTGGGTTGTTCCCATGGGCAGGGACACCTCCCACCAGCCCAGGGACACCTCCCACCATCCAACCTGCCCTTCAACACTGCCAGGGATGGGGCAGCCACAGCTTCCCTGGGCAACCTGGGCCAGGCTCTCACCACCCTCACACTCCAGAATGTCTTCTCCATGTGGTTGTTCCCATGGATGACCCATGGAAGCACTTGTGGTGCTCACCTGTTTCCCACCTTCATGGTGCTGAGGTTTGGCACTGTTAGGTTCATGCTTGGACATGATCTTGAAGGTCTTTTCCAACCCAAATGATTCTAGGATCCTTTAAAGGTCCTGAAGGAGGATTCTATCCAACAGGCAAATATCTGGGAAGGGAGAGTTGTCCAACAGACAGTGTCCCAGGCAAGGTGCTCCATCCTGCCTTCCAAAGGAGGACACCTTGGGGAGAGGTTTCACTTATCTGACAGGTTTTTGGGTAGCCTGGTTCTTGCAGCTTTCCAGAATGTTCTTCCCTCTTGTTCCACCCTTGAAGCTGAAAGTGAGGGGGGAGGGTCATGTGGCCTTGGAGCAGGACAGTGACTGTGACACATGGGTGTTACTTAAGTGGAGAATGCAAAGCTGAAGCCCCCTCTGAAGCCCTGTCTGGCTCTGCCCAGACCATGTTTGGTGCCTGGTGCTTGCTGAGCCTTGCCCAAGGGCTTTTGAAACCCTGGGCTCATCAGAAGTCCTGTGGGTGCTCCTGTTTCTCCTCTGGGAATAGGAATAGTGGAGGTCTCTGCTCTGAGGAGGTAGATCAGTGCTGAGTTGCCTTCAGCAGCTCCTGGGTGAATGTTCCTAGTGAGATTTTAACCAAATCTACCCTTGGGATGTTTGGGGGGGAGTTCCTCACAGGTCTGTCCCCTCTTGCAGGCTGCAGCAGCTGGATGATGAGAACAGTGAGCTGAGATCCTGTGTCCCTTGTTTAAAAGCCAACATTGAGAGACTTGAGGAGGTGAGGACCAGGGGTGCTGGGGGGGACTGGGCTTCTGGGTTCTCTGGAGCTGGAATGCAAGTTTACATATGAGATCACAGAGTCATGGGATGGTTTGGGTTGGAAGGGATCTTAAAGATCATCCAGTCCCACCCCCCTGCACAGACAGGGACACCTCCCACCAGCCCAGGTTGCTCCAAGCCCCATCCAACCTGCCCTTCAACACTGCCAGGGATGGGGCAGCCACAGCTTCCCTGGGCAACCTGGGCCAGGCTCTCACCACCCTCACACCAAAGAATTTCCTCCTCATGTCCAACCTCAATCTCCCCTCTGCCAGTTTTCATCCATCCCCCTTGTCCTCTCCCTCCCTGCCCTTGTCCCAAGTCCCTCCCCAGCTTTCCTGGAGCCCCTTCAGGCACTGGAAGCTGCTCTAAGGTCTATTTCTGTAAGCACCAAACCATGTTCTTCTGCCCCCCAGTCCCTGCCCAGGAGCAGACCTGTCCTGTACCACTATCCATGCAGGTTCCCAGTGTTCAGCTTGGGAGGTGGGATTAACAACCCCCAGAGAAGTCTCTCCAGGTCTCTGCAGCCCCCAGGAAGCCCCAGCTGGTTGGGAAGGGACTCGTGCTTGTCCCCAACCCCTGGTGACACTTGGCTGCAAGGGAGGAAGAGGAGCTGAGGTGCTTCATCTCCTCCCCCCTGCCCTGCAGATGGGCCCTCACTGGGATTTGGGTGTGATCTCCCAGATCCTGGTCCTGCTCAGGATTCAAGGCCAACAGAGTGAGAGGCTGGCTGAGGTGCCTCAGTTCCTGTGGGATGGACAAGATCCTCCTCCCTGGGGACACCGTGGTTTAAAGGCTGCATTTTGTTTCTGCTCAAGCCCTGGAAGTTGAAAATTGAAGTTAAATCAGTCCTCCCTGAGCAGCTGAAGGCCCTCAAGCCTTTCATCTGCTCACAGCCTTGGAACCTTCATCTCTCCCTAACCTGGCCACCATGGTCTTCATCTACCAAGACCCTACATTGAGGTTGGGGCAGGGAAACCTCTGTGGGGCTGAGGAGACATTTCCTGCCTGATTGTGTTCAGCCACTCAAAGTTGGTTTTGCTCCTTCAATCTCTCTGCAGAGCAGTCCTGCTTCTTCTCCCACAGTTAAAGGGATTAAGGAGGAGGGAGAAGTAGAACTGCTGCCCTTCCTTGCTGAGGAGAGAAGCTCTCCAGATGATTGCTGTCCTGCCCCTCCTCTGAAGGCAGGATTTTCTTGTCAGTGTGGTGGTTCCTGCTGGTTGTGGTGCTTTTGGTGCTCTGCTCCATGGACCAGGGCACCCAGAGCTGGCCCTTGGAGCTGCTCCTCACCTCTTTGTGGCATGGGCTGCCCCAAACCTTCCTCCTGAGGAGAGCCAGGCTGGGAGCTGCAGGGAGGTGTCCTGCTCGGGGCTGTTGTCATCACCATGACAAGCTTGACCTGATGGTTCAAATATTCAGTCAGGGCTTTGAGGGGTGGGATGGGGACAGAGCAGGAGAGCTGGGCTTGAACTGGGCATGGTCCTTCTTGGGTCAGTCCTCAATGAAATGGTTTCACATCTGAAACAAGAGAGAACATCCCCACTGAAGTGGCTTAAGATCTTGGATTCCTGGCTTTTCTGAGGATCTAAGGACCTGGGATGGGTTGCCCAGGGGGGTTGTTGATGCTCCATCCCTGGAGGTTTGTAAGACCAGGTTGGTTGAGGTTTTGTGCAGCCTGGGCTGGTGGTTCCCTGCTCATGGCAGGGGGTTGGAACTGGATGATCTTTAAGGTCCCTTCCAACCTTAATGAATCTATGATTCTATGATCCAACCAGGATTGAATCTAGGTGATCTGTAAGGTCCTTCCCAACCCAAACCATCCCATGACTCTATGATTTCATGTCTCCCCTTGTATCCCCTGTGCTGGCCCCAGCCCTGCCCAAGCCATGTCCCGTGCCAGCACAAGGGTAGATATTTCCCCTTGTGCCTTCCTTCTTGAGTCACCTCTCCCCTTCCTCTCTCAGTGGTGCTTTTTTTTTGGTGTGTGATTCTTCTTGGTGCTGCCAAAGCCCTGGAGATGAAGCTCCAGCAGGCAGAGCAGCTGGATCCATGGGTGGGAAGAGCCTTCCTGGTGTGCCCAGCACACGCCACAGGGAGGGCCCTGGGACTGTTGCCTCTCTTGTCATGACAGGAGAAGCAGAAGCTGCTGGATGAGATTGAAGACCTCACTGTGCAACTCACAGATGAGCAGGAGAAAAAGAGGAAGATGGGGGACAAGCTGAGTCAGGAGAGGCACCAATTTCAGAAGGAGAAGGAGTCGACCCAGGAGGTCAGTGGAGTGGGGGTTCCTACCCCAGCCCTGCCCTGACAGCCCCCCAACTGGGGGCTCAGTGGGGGGAACTGGCCTTGGTGGCCACCTCAAAAATAGGTGTGACTGGAGTGTTTGGTCCCACCCGGGCAGAGTGAGGCAGCAGAGCTGCCTCATCTGGTGCTTTTGCCTGCCTTGAAGTTCAGCCAAGTGCCCTTGCAACCCCCAGGGCTGGGCCACTCTGGGCTCCTCCTGCAGGGCCTGGTTCTCCTCTGCATCCTGGGAGCAGGGGCAGGAGGGTGGTGACAATGGCACGTGGAGCCAGCAGGCAGGAGGACAGGGCTGTGAGGCTGCTGGGGAGAGAGCTGCCAGCTCCTGGGTGCTTGGGGGCAGAAATCCAACCCCCCTCCAGCCCCTTCCAGGTCTGTGTGGTTGGTGATTCCAGCTGGAGGCTCCAGCAGGACTTGCTGCTGTGGTTGGGAAGGAGCTTTGGGCCTCCAAGTGGGAATTACTGCCATTCTGGTGATGCTGGGGCCCCTCAGGTGAGATACACAGCAGTGAGGCAGGAGGGAGTTGCCCACCTTGCCCAGGGGAGTCTGTCTGCTGCTGCAGACCCCAACCAGCACCTCCAACAAGACCCTTCCAGGGCTGCTCTCATGGTTTGAAGTAGTTCCCCCCTCTCTAGAGGTGCAGGGGGAGGAAGGAGAAGCCACGTGCAGCCCCAGAAAGGATCTGTTCATCCTGGGGTTGGTGGGGCTGCTCCCAGCTGGGGACAGCCCAGGTGAGCTGGCAGACCCGTGGCACCCACTTGTCCCCTTCCCTTGTGCTGCAGCTCATTGAGGACCTCAGGAAGCAGCTGGAGCACCTGCAGCTCTTCAAACTGGAAGCTGAGCAGAGGAGGGGCAGGAGCAGCAGCCTGGGGCTGCTGCAGTACAACAGCAGGACACGGGAGACAGAGCTGGAGCAGGAGATCAAGCAGCTCAAGCAGGTACAGGAGGCTGGGCAGGGTGGGAGGCATCTCAGCTGCTTGCTTTCCAAAAGGGGATGTTGGTTTCCTGACCCCCAGGAGTGGTCAGCAGGGTTTGGGGCTCCCCCTTCCCCCCCAAAGAAGCCAACTCTGGCTCCAGCTCCCTGGTGAATGTTTGGTCTCTGGGACAGGAGAGGTTGGGTCCTTTCTCTGAAGGGCAGCTGGTGCACAAGAGCCCCTCTCTGCTGTGTCCCTGGAATCTCCCCAGCACTTTGCATGTTTCCAGAGGTTCTCCAGGCTCTGCCAGGACTGAGCCAGGAGACCCTGAGCTGCTGGTGAGGACGAAAGCCCCTTCCCCAGTGGGATCTGCACTGAGGGCCCCACTTGCTTCAGCAGCCTCTGATGTTGGTCCCTTGTGAACAGGACAACAGGAGCCTGAAGGAGCAGAACGATGAACTCAACGGGCAGATCATTAACTTGAGCATCCAGGGAGCCAAGAACCTCTTCTCAGCCTCCTTCTCTGAATCCCTGGCAGCAGAGATCAGCTCAGTCTCCAGAGACGAGGTACGTGCCTCAGGGTGCTGCTCCCTCAGTCCTGGGCTGGCTATTGCATCTCCTCTCCTCCTGCCCAGCTGGCTGAGAGGAGGTGCCCCAGCCACCCCAGGCTTGGCAGGAGCTGTCCTGGCCCTGGCTGTGGGACACCTCCCTCCCCACATTCACTCAAAAGCCTTTGGGAGCAAAGAAATGCCCACACAAGCATGTGAGGAGCCTGCAGCCTGTGCCCTGCCTGCCAACCCCCCTTCCCAGGGAGAGGGGAAGCTGCTCCCTTCCAGTTTGCTGATACCAGCAGCTCCATTGGCCTGCCCTGGGACAACCTTCCTCTTCCTGGGACAGACCAGCCACTATGTCTGTCTGTCTGTAGCTCTCTTAAACCCCCTGGAGCTGGGATATCTTCTCTGGAGATCCTGGCACTCCCTGCCCCATGGCTGTACCCTGGGTGCTGGTGTCCAAGCCCACGTGAGCACCAGGATTCAATCTTGCAGCCCCCAAGAAGTGGGGAAACACACCTGGGTGTTCAGAGGCTGAAGGGAGGTGTGATGCTCCAGGTTTTCTCCAGGCTCCCACCTGGCTGAGAGTTTGAGGAGAGCAGTGGGCAGAGCCAGCAGCTGAGGGCATTTTTCCTGGCCAGGAACATCCCAGGCCAGGGTGAGGAAGCAGGGAAAGCTCAGGGGGTGCACAGAGCCACGAGAGTCACAGAATTGTTTTGGTTGGAAAAGACCCTGAAGATCATCAAGTCCAACCATTAGTGTAATTTTACCCAGCCCAGTGCTGCCCCATGTCCCTCAGCACCACATATACAGGGCTTGGGAACCCCTCCAGGGATGGGGATTGAACCCCCTCCCTGGGCAGCCTGGGCCAGGGCCTGACAAGCCTTTCAGGGAGGAAACTGCACTGCCTGCAGTTGTGGTGCCCTCAGCACAAGAAGGACATGGAGCTGTTGGAGAGAGTCCAGAGGAGGCCACAGAGATGATCCAAGGGCTGGAGCAGCTCTGCTCTGGAGCCAGGCTGGGAGAGTTGGGATATTCATCCTGGAGAAGAGAAGGCTCCAGGGAGACCTTAGAGCACCTTCCAGGGCCTGAAGGGGCTCCAGGAAAGCTGGGGAGGGACTTGGGACAAGGGCAGGGAGGGAGAGGACAAGGGGGGATGGATGAAAACTGGCAGAGGGGAGATTGAGGTTGGACATGAGGAGGAAATTCTTTGGTGTGAGGGTGGTGAGAGCCTGGCCCAGGTTGCCCAGGAAGGTTATTGATGCCCCATCCCTGGAGGTTTTTCAGGCCAGGTTGGGTGAGTTTTTGTGCAACCTCCTCTAGTGGTTCCCTGCTCGTGGCGGGGGGGGGGTTGGAGCTGGATGATCTTGAAGGTCCCTTCCACCCTGGAGGATTCTATGCTTCATACCCAGTGAGGAAGCCCCGTGGGGGTCCCTGGGGCCACTGAATCCCTCTCTCCCTCCCCCCCGTGCAGCTGATGGAAGCAATCCAGAAGCAGGAGGAGATCAACTTCCGCCTGCAGGATTACATCGACAGGATCATCGTGGCCATCATGGAGACCAACCCCTCCATCCTGGAGGTGAAGTAAAGGGTGGCCTTGCACTCACTGATGGCCGTGGATTTGGTGCTCTGAGAGGATGAAGAGGGACTCCCAACGTCTTTGCTCTTGATGAAGGCACAAGGAGGCATCGGGTGGATGGGGGAGCTGCCAGCAGAGCAGGGAAACAGCAAACCCAGCAGCCAGGCTTTGGTGGCTGACTCTGTTGTTTTGGAACCCTCCTGCTTTTGGAGGGGGGAAAGGGAACCTGGAGAAGGAACACAGGACAGCTGGAGGAAGCTACCCGTGAAGCTGGGAACTGTCCCCACAGCCCTGTCCCACCCTGCAGCCTCCCCACAGGAGCTGGGCACCGTGAGCGCTGCCAGGAGAGGGAACTCTCTGCCAGGGCACTCCCAGATTCCTCTGAACTGCAGGATAATGGGATGGAAAAGGAAGCAGCAGCACTGACCTTTTCCCTCCCCAGCCCAAGTATCTGCTTTGCCAAAGTGTCCCTGACACACTCACTCACTGGGGTAAGAGGGAAACGTGTCCCAGACTTGCAGAGGTTTGGGTTTGGTTTTAATGAACTTCATGGCAATGTCCTCGTTGAGCTGGCACACACTGGCCCTGCCACTTCTGCTGGGGAAGGGGTTGGGAGCAGAGGCCTGGCTGGCTCCTCACTCCCTGGTGGCAGGAAAGGGGCATGGGAGTGTCCAGCTTGGGGACAGGCTGTAAGAGCACTTTGTCACCTGCCTCCTTATTTATTTTGGCTCCTTCCCTGGCTCTCCTTGGTGTTCATGGCCCTGCTGCCCTCCTCCCTGCCCTGCTCTGGGTGCCTGGCCAGCCAGACTGGCTCTGGGAGGATTGGTCCCCCTGTCCCCAGCTGCAGGCACGTGGGTGATGTCTGTCTGTCTGTCTGGCCAGCCAGGGCCAAGGCTGCTCCTCTTCCCCCTGCACTGGAGGCTGTTCCTGCCTCTCTCCAGCCTGCTGCATCTCTCCAGCCTGGCTTGGCTTGCCCAGGATGTCCAGGGAGATGTGGTTGAGAGGGCTGAGTTCTCCACATTGTCCCCTGGCCTGGGAATAGTGACCTGTGCCCTTCCCACCTGGAGCAGGGTGACATTCCTGGAGGGAGAACCTGCTCCTGCTGCCTTTCCCTGCCGTTTCCCTGGGCCAGGGCTGCTGTTCCCACCTCTCAGCAGCAGCCAGAGAAGAGCCCAGAGCATCATCCAAGAGCAGCTTCCCGGGAAACAAAAGCCATGTTTACATCGGGCAGCTTCTGGCATCTGAGCAGCCCCGGGTTAACCCTCCTGCTCCTCCTCTCCAGCTCCCGGGAGGAGCCAACCAGATGATTCCCGAAGGGATCCGGCTTCCCCCGGCACCTCGGCTCCCAAAACAGCAACAACAAAAAGCCCTTGCTTTTCTTTTCCTGCTCGTCAGGTTTTGGAAAGGCCGGAGTGGCCTGAAAGCAGAACCCACAAGGATCCCTGAGCTGCTGGGGGGGCTGGGAGCTCCTGCTCCTCCCCATGGGGCTGGCACATCCCTCTTCCCACGCAGCAGGGCACTTTGTCCCCCCTGGAGGTGGCAGCTGCCCCAGCCTTAGTCCCTGAGGGGGGTCCCTAGTTGTTTGGGGGGTCCCCAAGTGGCTGGGAGGGTCCCCAAATGGCTGGGAAGTTCCCCAAGTGGCTGGGAGGGGTCCCCAAGTGACCAGGGGGGTTTCCCAAGTGGCTGGAGGTTCCCCAAGTGGCTGGAGGGGGGCCTCAAGTGGCTGGAGGGGTCCCCAAGTGGCTGGAGGTGTCCCCAAGTGGCTGGAGGGGTCCCCAAGTGGCTGGGGGGGATCCCCAAGTGGCTCTCAGCTCCCTGCACTGCTGGTCCTGGGGGGGGGAAACCAGCCCAGCCCCAGAGCTGCTGGAACCACCACAACCCTCCTCTCTGAACTCAACCCTTCCCATGGCCTTGGGTGAGATGCAGAGGGGTTGGTTTTTTTTTTGGGGGGGGGGATGAGCCCTAAAACCTTTGGGTGAGGGGAGGGGACCCTTCCCAGCATCACTCCCCTCCCTACCCTGGGCCCACGGGAAGAAGCCACGTCATGTACATTTCCAGAGAAGCTTTGGGTGTAAATCAGTGTAAACTGGGAGAGGGGAAAACAAATTTTTCTATCTTGTAGAGTAGGTATTTTTATAGACTGAAGGTTGATCATTTTTTTAATACTTTAAAAGAAGAGAGAAATGTTATCTGTGTATACACAAAAGCATATATATATATATATGTATAAAGATATAAATATTGAAGATCTGCCTTTTTTTGACTTGGGATCCTGGATCCTCAGTTCAAATAATTGTCTTTTTTTTTTTTTCCTGTTGCTCACAAAAAGGTACTGTAACTGTAAATAAGCACTTGGGGGGGGGGGAATATGAAGCAAACAAAGCACTGACTTGCACATTCACCATGCTTTAAAATCCTGATGGAAAAAGAGAAAAAGGTTAAAAAAAAGAAAAGAAAGAAAACCTGTAGTTTCTCTCCCTCCCCCCAAAAAAGCTCCTCTTTTCCCCACTGGTATGTGAAGGAAGTTTCTCCCCCCTCCCTAAAAAAAAAAAAAGAGGCAAAACTGGTATTGTCTTAAATGATGTATCAATTCTTGTCAGATTAAAAGCTGTTACTCTTCCTGCCTTGGAGATGTTCTTTCTGCTGGGGAGGTTCTGAGGGTTGGGGCATCCCAAGGGCTGGGGGTGGGTGGGAGTAGAAGTGCCCCTGCCCCTTGGAATTCCCTGATTTGGGGTTGGGGGAGGCTGGAGCTGGTCCTGAGGGGCTGAGGGAGCCAAAAACCTCCTGGTTGGTGGGTGCAAGGTGGTAGGTTTCACCCTTGGTGGGGTTCAGCTTGGGTGAGATGCAGAGGGGTTGGTTTTTTTTTTGGGGGGGGGGATGAGCCCTAAAACCTTTGGGTGAGGGGAGGGGACCCTTCCCAGCATCACTCCCCTCCCTACCCTGGGCCCACGGGAAGAAGCCACGTCATGTACATTTCCAGAGAAGCTTTGGGTGTAAATCAGTGTAAACTGGGAGAGGGGAAAACAAATTTTTCTATCTTGTAGAGTAGGTATTTTTATAGACTGAAGGTTGATCATTTTTTTAATACTTTAAAAGAAGAGAGAAATGTTATCTGTGTATACACAAAAGCATATATATATATATGTATAAAGATATAAATATTGAAGATCTGCCTTTTTTTGACTTGGGATCCTGGATCCTCAGTTCAAATAATTGTCTTTTTTTTTTTTTCCTGTTGCTCACAAAAAGGTACTGTAACTGTAAATAAGCACTTGGGGGGGGGGGAATATGAAGCAAACAAAGCACTGACTTGCACATTCACCATGCTTTAAAATCCTGATGGAAAAAGAGAAAAAGGTTAAAAAAAAGAAAAGAAAGAAAACCTGTAGTTTCTCTCCCTCCCCACACAAAATGCTCCTCTTTTCCCCACTGGTATGTGAAGGAAGTTTCTCCCCCCTCCCTAAAAAAAAAAAAAGAGGCAAAACTGGTATTGTCTTAAATGATGTATCAATTCTTGTCAGATTAAAAGCTGTTACTCTTCCTGCCTTGGAGATGTTCTTTCTGCTGGGGAGGTTCTGAGGGTTGGGGCATCCCAAGGGCTGGGGGTGGGTGGGAGTAGAAGTGCCCCTGCCCCTTGGAATTCCCTGATTTGGGGTTGGGGGAGGCTGGAGCTGGTCCTGAGGGGCTGAGGGAGCCAAAAACCTCCTGGTTGGTGGGTGCAAGGTGGTAGGTTTCACCCTTGGTGGGGTTCAGGTGGGTTGAGGGACCTTTGGAACTGGCCTTGTTCCCATCTCCCAGGGTGTCCCCCTTCTCTGGGTCAGGCTGTAGCTCAGCACCAGCTGGGACCTGCTCAGGGGGGACAAGGAGCTTTTCCCTTCCCTCTAGGGTGCTGAACCCCTCTGGCTGCTCTCTCAACGGTCCCAAAAAATCCCTTCAACGCCTTAAATCACCCTGCTAAGCTGCTCCACGCCCCTCTGAGCTTCCCTTCCCCTCCTCCCAGCCCCTTTAAGCTGCCCCAAAGGGCTCTAACGTGCAAAATACCCTCTCAGCTCCTGCAGCTCCTCCGGGTGGTTCCAGCCTGATGCTCTGAACTCTGAGCAGCCCTGGAGTTCCCAGAGCTGCTGCAAAGAGCTGAGTGTCTCTGCGTGCTGGGAAATGTCTCTGACACTGAGCCCTGAGCTCCCTGCAACACCCCTGATTATTGCAAACTGCTCCACACTCCTCTAAAACCTCCCTGAGCATCTCTAAGACCCCTCTAGGGTGGCCCCTAAACCCCTCTAAGTAACTTAGGTGTGCACAGATACTTCTCAGAACACTTATTAAAAGTTCTTTAAGAATTCCTCCTGAAAAGTTCCACCTCCCACAGGACGAAGCTGCTCTAGAAATGGGGTAAGTAAATGGCTCTGGGGGTACTGGGGTGGTCCTGGGTCTCTTCAAGGAGCTGTAAACCAGCTCCAAACAGCTGGGAGGTCTGGAAGGATGGACTTTCAGGCAGCACTGAAGCACTTGAATTGCTCAAATAACTCTCAGGCTCCTCAAATCAGCCCCAAGGTGCTAAAACTCCTTGGAGCAGCTCGAAGTAGCTCTTCAGGTCCTCCAAACTCGTCTGAAACTCCTTGAAATAGCTCAAGTTGGAGCGTAAAAAAAGATCTTGGAGCAGCTCTGAAGCACTCCAAGCCTCCTGTGCGTGGCTGTGAAACACCTCAAGTGCTCAAAACCCTCCAAAAGGCCCCTGAAACTCCTCCAGACCTTTCTAAGGTACCTCTCACGCCTCTAAACTTCTCCCAGCAGTTGGAAACCGCCCAAAATCCCCTCCAAACCCCACCAAGGAAGTGTAAGCAACCCTGAAACAGCTCCAAAGCTGCTCTGAAACCCACCCCAAAAGTCTCTGTGGCTGCACAGAAAGGCTGAAGCTCTTCTCTGTGTCCTCTGTAAAGGTCTCTACATGTCTTGAAACCTCTCCAGCCTCTTCTAAGCTGCTCCAGAAAAGCCCTGAAGCTTTGAAGGTCTCTGTGTCCTCCAGAGCTGCTCCACCACAGCACGGCTGGGGCTTGGCACCACAGTGGGGAGAGCTCTGAGTTAGGATTGATGATGGTTTTTAAAAACAAATC